TTTTAAAATGTAGAACTTGAAATTCTTAAAATTAGCAACAAGCCGTCGAAATTTTATATCACCTTTGGAATCCTTCATTTTCAAAATTCCAGGCAAATGATCTCACTTGCTCACCACTCCTACATTGCCATGGTACATGAAGCTGATAAAACTGAAGATGCCATCAAACTAGCCACTTGGTGGGACAAATTCTTAGGTAAACTCAAAGTTTCTCCCTCAATATTATCTCACACGATTTCATAACTTTTCAGAAAGTGTTGAAAAAGGCCGTACTAACACAGAATTGCTGGAAATTTTGGAGATGCGCTGTACGGCATTGGAAAGCCTTCGAAATCTCGATCATGCTAATCGATATACAGTAGCGGAAAAACTACTTGAAACACTGATCAGAAGCTATAGGGTAAGGCGAAGAAGGGACACATATTGATTGAGGGCGGGACGTGGACATGAACGCAATCGATTTAATAATTTTTTACAACTCTGATAAATTATGGCAAAATAAGTCGAACACAATTTTGATTCGAAATGTCATTTGTTGATCAGACTAATCAAGCTGTGGGTGTAAACATCCCCCCTCGCTCCCCTATCAAAGCTTCTTCGAACCGTAATCGTATATGGACTTATCTTATTGAACAGCGTTTTCCTAGATCTCATGCATAGTAAATCGTCGCTTTCACACACGCACATTGCGACGTTTGGAGAAAATCGTTGAATGGCTAGATGACGTGGAACATGGTGGTTGGTCAATTCCCGCTCACTTGGCATTCTAAAATTTTGCTAAATTGCTCAAATTTGCAGATGATAGAGATGTCACAGATGTTGAGAAGCTTTTTGAAGAAGCTCTGGATGAGGCACATATCGATCGACATCGCTATGAAGTTGAAACTGAGATGACACTGAGAGAGCGACGAGATCCAAATTACACTACCGTAAGGCAAATTGTCTGCAGCTGCAAAAAAACCGTATTGTCTTTTTCAAATGGTCCTTTAGTGCTGCGAAATGCTACGTGCATTATCGTCCCGAACTCTTGGTAGCACTATGACACCGACTGTTAACGCCATTCTAAGCAAGCCGATTGCACCACATTCAAAAAACGAGAACTGGTCCCTATCGTCGAACTCAGACAATGAAGAAATTGCATGTTCACCATGTGAAGATGTTGTGATTCGATTCTAAAATCTAACATTAATTCATTATCGA